GACAGAGAGAGAGACAGAGAGAGAGAGAGAGAGAGGGGTAACGTGAGGGAGAAAGAGGGGGGAGAATGAGAGAGCCAGGAAACTAAAGATACAGGGGTGTCTAAAAAAACGAAAAGCGGACCCACTTAAATTGTAATAACTCGGTCATCTCTGCCCTAATTTCAACCAAAATCCGAACAAATAAAATTCAACCAATAGGACGTCAAGTTGGTAAATATTTAAAAAAAAACAACTACCAGGGAACATTTTTGAGAAAAATCAAGTTTTAATTTTTTTTTTACAAAACTGAGTACAAGACAATTTTCAAAATTTTGTATACGCGTTCAGCTGTATGGGCTTGATTGGCCCATTGTGATTTCAGGACAAGGACAGTAAAAAGCACAATTGTCACCTCAGATAGACATCTAAACGTGTCTAGAAAGTTTTGTAGAAGTTTGGGAAGAATGTGTTGTGCTGTACAGTTCTGATTTCAGTGGGGTTGGGCCACAAACCAAACAGCAAGAGTGGCCATGATATGGTTGCAAGAAAGGTTTGGAGAACACATTACAGCCGAAAAGTTACGAATGAATGGTTACTATATGTCTTCTAACTTAAACCTGTTCATCAGTTATTACCTTTTGGGCTTTAAAAAAATTTTGATGGACATAGTGTAGGGAAACAATCCCCAAACAACCCAACAGTTGGAACTCTATGATGAACAAGACTTCCAAAGAATCGTCCCAGAAACATACCACAGGGCTATTTCAAATTTCCAATGGCGTACTGCTGGAGCAAGAAATGGTCAGCACCGTGAGATTTAAATAGCGAACTCCTTCTGTTAGTTACTTACTTTTACTTTTTCATCCTCTGTTGCCGTTAAGCGTCGAGGGGAGATGCAGTTTTCTACGGCTGGCCTTTCATTTGTGATATTATTGTGTTTTCTCAGGGTTTCCTTGATATCCTCAATCCACCTTTAGCGTGGCCTTCCTCTTCCTTTATAACCTGGGTGCTTGGTGTTGTAGGCTCTCGAGGCTGGCTGGTGACATACGTAGCAGCTGGCCAAACCGTTTCATTCTGTCTTTCTATGTAATGCAGGCAGGACCCAATGCTGAAAGCTGCTCTTATCTCTTCATGTCTCTGTCTGTCCCATCTTGTGGTGTTTTTGTTAAGGCTTTTGCGGAGACATCTCATTTCGCATGCAATGATTTTGCTTTCATGGGTTTTATTTAATGTCTAGATCTGGCACTCATGGTAGCACAATGTTGGTATGGATATTGAAGTGGTAAACTGTCTCTTTGTGTCCATGGAGATATTTTGATGAGATAGGAGGGGTGTGAGCTGGTAGGCGACAGCGTTTGCTTTTTTAGTTTACATTTCTAATTCTCTGTCTATGAAGCCGTTTTCAGAAAAAGTGGTGCCAAAATATTTAAACTACTTCACCAGTTTCGATATTTTACTATCATTCTATTTTACTATGTTCTGGGGACTATGGTTTCGGCTCACTTTCACAACTTCTGTTTTGATGCGTTAATTATCTTTGAATTTATTTAGCAATTATTTTTCGCCCTTGTCCGAGAATGCTAGGTGTAAATCTTTCCTACCAGAAGATCAGGGGTGTGGCTGAAAAACAGCAGTAAGAAGGAGCCAAGGAGTAGCAGTAGACAGGCTACAGAAAGAGTCAGGAGCCCAATGGAGGGGGCAAAGGAGGTGAGGGGGTCGGGGCAGAAAGTGGAGACGAAAGCAGACGGCAGAACATTGCCAAAGAGCAGGAAAGGAGGTGAAAGGAGACAAGAGAAGAAAATGTTTCGGTGCTACCCGGATACGAATCCAGAACCTTTGAATTAGAGGCGATCACCTTAATCTCTAGGCCACGAGAGCCCCCATTTGTTCTTCAACGTACAAATTTAATACATGTAGTGACTATTTGAAATAGAGCAATATACTTATTTTCTCTAAGAAGCTGCAAAGTTTGCCGTCTGAGTCAATTTTGGCTGACATTTTTTTAAATTTGATATTTTTTCGAACAAACGAATTGATTTCTCTCATATAGATAAAACACTAAGTCCCCCATGGTTGAACTTTATTTCTGCGAAATTTTATTAGAATTGGTACAAAGATGACTGCGTTATTGTAAAAGTGGTCCTCCTTTTTTGACACTCGGTAGCAGACAATTAGAGAAAGTGGGGAGGGGGGGGGATAGAGAGAAGGGAGGTATGAGAGGGGGGAAAAGAGAACTGAAGTGTGAAAGAGTAGGGTGAGAGAGAGTGTGTGAGAGAAAGCGATTGAGAGAAAAGAGGAGCAAAGGGGGTGAGTGAAATATTGTGAGAAACAGAGAATGTGTTTGTATGTGTGTGTGTGTGTGTGTGTGTGTGTGTGTGTGTGTGTGTGTGTGTGTGTGTGTAAGAGAGAGAGAGAGAGAGATTGAGGGAGATAAGGAGGAGGAGGAGAGGGCGGGGTAAGAGAGACAGAGTGACAGAGGAAAAGATTGAGACACCCATGACATGCCTTCAGAAGACGACTTGTACGATGTGTATTTCCAACCCAGGTCGTGGGTATTGCTGCTGCTGCTGTTGCTGCTGCCGTGGTTGCTGTAGTGGTTATAACTATTTATTGTTTCTGATATTGTCACTATTGTTCCTGATACATTCAGAGGAACATAATAACATTTACATATTCATTATTATGGTGCAGGTCCACGCGCTACAGCCTGGTCAATGCGCTTTACAATAACAACTATTTCCCCAGCAGACCCTGGAAGAGAGCCACTGGGAAAACCAGAAAAATAATAAATTATATGAAATTAAAACCAAACTAGAACAGCGAAATCCTTCGGATCTCTCCAGAAGAGACGAAGTCATTTTTACTCGATTGCGCATCGGACACACGGCCCTGACCCACAAATACCTCCTACAGGGAGATGAGAAGCCGTTCTGTGTCGGATGCGAGACAGATTTTACCATTAGACACATTTTAACAGAATGTCTAGACTTTGGAGAGATCCGAAGGAAATATTATAAATGCAAGAAATTGCAGGATATTTTTTCCGTCGTTGTTCCCAGCAGAATTTTAAATTTTATAAAGGCCATTGGCCTCTATGGCGAGTTGTAGAGTGAATTTTATATTATTTAAAATTTTTATCGTTACTTAAAAGTTGTTTTAGATCACAAATGTATTTACACTGAATTTGAATATTTTAACTTTTTAGCATTTTAAAGTAAATTAGTTAACCAGTCGTGAAGTGAACTTTCGCAGAGGTGAACAACTTGTGTTTCGCGCGCTCATTTGACCTTAGCAGTTGCGAGCGCCGTAAAACCTTATACTATACATACATAGACCCTGGAACACTCAGAAATATTCCCAACTTCCCGGGAAGCATACAGTGCAAGCTGCAGATTGTACACGCTCACTCTAACAAACTGTCAAAGATCTTTAGCTTTCAGTTGCAGGGTACCAATTTCCACCGGGGTGAAGTGAGGACAATTCCTGTAAAGTGACTTTCACAAGGACACAACGTCGGCTCCTTAACGTGGCGGCATCCGAACCCACGACCTTACGTTTGCGAGTCCGAGAGCCTAAACACTAGGCCACCGACGCCGCCAACCTTGCTTTTGTTCTTGGTCTTCTACACCTGTATTCGTCGTCGCATCTTCTGTTGCTGCTGGTATTGTGACTGTTGCTGCTGTTGCTGCTGGTATTGTGACTGTTGCTGCTGTTGCTGCTGGTATTGTGACTCTTGCTGCTGTTGCTGCTGTTGCTGCTGTTGCTGCTGTTGCTGCTGTTGCTGCTGTTACTTTTGCTGTTGCGCTACCGCCTACCTGTCCGGCGCCCCCGCCTGAGCGTGTCCTGTTGTCCCCAGGTTTTCACAGACGAGCCCGGCCCAGGACCCCCCGCAAGGAGAACACTGGCAGTGGCAAGTCCCCTGAGACAAAACCGCAACGCAAACACACCTTGCACTCTCCTCCCCGAACGTTCCAGCCTGTGGCTATTGTCTCCTCGTGGGTCAGCTCTGACATCACGAGGGTCAATTCCACCGAGATCTGGTGACGCCAAAGCTACACATGAGGCCTGGTGGCGCCACAGTCTACCCATCACAGCCGCCATTTACCTATTTGATATCTGATCACATTTTTTAAAAACAACGAACAAGACCTCGGCTTAGATCTGATTCCTATGTCTGTGTTGTTTTTCTTGACGAAGAAATCCTGAGTCAGACACCCGTGCTTTGTTCAGAGTTCTTTGTTTACCCTTTGACCTACTTTTTTCCGGTTCCCTCGTCTTTGACATCTCGCTATCCCAGAATCACAAGGTTCTATCTGCTCAGTATCTAGTTTTGAGGAATGTGACGATAAAATTTTGAGTTCCACAACATGTCTAGCTTTTTCGAATGCAGTTCTTTAAATATCTTAATAACGACTCCGAATAATCAAACGATTTTGATAGAACAGACAGGATATTTGGGTTCTGAACTCATGGTCTTAGTAGATCTTCAAGGGTACACGGCTATGAATGAGATCTTTAACTTTCCTTTGATATGTTAAATGAAAAGATGCTTTGTTTTTATTTTTTAATGGTTAGGAAAAGCAATACATCAGCACAGACTAGTGTCTACAGAGTCCCCCCCCCTCCTTTTCCCCCTCCTTCTCCCCTTTTTCCCCCAATATGCTTTACAGTATTTTTCAAGAAGAAACTAAGCGCTGACATTTTCCACAAAATCCCAAGAAGATAATAACAACATAGAATTTCTGTAGCAAAACAATAATTGCCTTATTTATTTCCGAGAAAAAAGCAAGAAAGACTGACAGAAACAACCGAGAGAAAGAAAAGAGATAGAACCCACCAAGTCACCCAACAACCACCCGCTTACAAAGGGGGCATGGACAAGATCCCCAAATAATATTATTAGCTTCTTATATTGCAACAGCGAGCAGCTCCTGGGCACAAACCTGGTTACATTGTATTTTATTTTGGGGGTAGGTCTATTTCTAATCGATTCTTATTACCATAACTGATACCAGACCTTCATATTTCTCAACCAGGGCGCCCTCCAACCACCCGCTAAAAAAGGAAATACGGGCGTAAGGGATGGGGTTGTGTGTGTGTGTGGGGGGGGGGGGGGTCAAAGATCCCTGCAAACAACAGGCGCTGCCAAAATGTAGGCCCCAGAAGAAATTTACCGCATCCAGCGCTCTCAGCCGTACGTTCACCAAACCTGAAAACGACCGACTAAAAGTCGTCTGTCTCTTGGGAAATAATAGGTAGTTGAAATAGAGCAACTGTTGGGTCTGAGCAAACAGTTTGGATGTGTCCACCAAAACGACACGACTCCTTCCGACCAAAGATGGGTCAGCTGGGCTTGCAACATTTCTGTTGGGCCGTGTAGTGACACATCAGCTATAAGCCCAGTCAGAGCTAAAAATAGAAATTCTAATTTTCAGTTTGGATGAAAAATCTAATGCCATATTCGTATTCAGCACCTCCAAAATTAGCATAGTGTACGCGCAAACCACCTGGTTTAAATACCTGTTAACTTACTTACTTTTACTTGACTTTTCATCCTCTGTTGCCGTTGGGAAGGCTCGGGTCTTCAAAATACGATGTTTGGTTCAAAATATCGATCTTCAACTTTTTACATTTTCGGGTACCTGAATATGTTAGGAACCGATACCCCCTGACCTCCATTGGGAAATATTTTTAAAAAATCGTTTTGGGGTCATTTCCTTCAGGGTACCTTCCTCAAAGTAGGACACATTTTTTTCATCCAATGAGCCCCAAAAGAGCCCATCATTGGACGGTGACGACAACAACGTGTCTCCGCGTGACCCTAACTTGTTTAGTATAATTGTAACCGCAAGCTTCTCCTCTTCCAAACCGTAAAACTATCTCGAGTGATGTGTTTCTGACAGTTTAGTTATGAAGCAAGAAACATGACGCCCCATTTTGTAAATCTTAGTTTGTTTTGAACAAAATGAATCCCTGGTACTAAAAATAATATAATGACCATTACGTCATTATTCAGTCAGAGATTGCCGCGAGGTATGGAATCTTCAGCAGTTTTTTTATGATCATCGCTACTATTTTATTTCGATTACAAAAAGCCTGTTGGACTGTTTTCACCAACGGAACCACCAAGTTTGCTATTGTGTTTGGCGAAACTTTATCGTGTTTCTCACTGATCTTTATTTTAGTGCAGTCTTGTCTTTTTTGTCTGTTCATTCAGTACCGTCCAAGAAGTTGTGTTCAATTTAGTATACATTTCAGTTTGTTTGTTTTTCCCCCTGGTTGGCCCGTGCATGTTCCTTGATGTGCGTGTGGTGGAGTTTTGTTGTTTGTTTGTTTGTTTGTTTGTTTGTTGGTCGTTTTTTGTTGGGGGTGGTAATGCAGGTGTTTTTACACGTCTATTGACACAATTTAGATCATTTAGGAAGCTGGCTTTCGACCCTGACTGTCACTGTCAGAGCTAACCCAGACTAAGATGGATACCACATCCCAGCAGAAAAACTCAGCTACTCAAAAGAAAGTCTCAATGCCCAGGAACCGAACTCAAGTCTCCCGAGTGGGACAGTGAAGCGCCTGATCGCTACACCACAAATATTGATTGTTTGTTTTTTGTTAGGGGGTATGGGATAAAAAAAAAGTGAGAAAACGAAAACGTATAAGAGAGAGAGAGAGAGAGAGAGAGAGAGAGAGAGAGAGAGAGAGAGAGAGACAGACAGACAGACAGACAGACAGACAGACAGACAGAGACAGACAGAGACAGAGAGAGACAGAGAGAGACAGAGAGAGACAGAGAGAGAGAGAGAGGGGTGATGTGATGTTTAGAGATGATGTTGCCAGTAAGAGTATTCTGTGTCACAGATCTCGTGAGGGCACACTTCACGTTTCGTCAAATGTTTGGTCAATATAATATAGCTTACCTTATCTTACAAGCTAACAATGAAAGGGACACTGTTATGAACGTTTTGCTAACTTATATACTTGCTACCGTAAAGTTGAAAATTATTGTCCTGGCGAGGCCACAGTATTACATTAGTCATTGTTATTTTAGTTCATAAATAATATGAAATATAATAGAATTAAAAAGGAACGACAGAAATTAGCACAAATGTAAGATTAACTGTAGCGTTGTAAACTTATGAATTCCTTTACAGTGAATCTACCGAAAGCAGACTCCCAGTGAAAAGAGGTTCAACGGATTATTTCTTACTCATGTCAGCAAACCACAGGCCTCGGCAAAAACAGGATCGCCGGGATTGATGTGATATCACTGTTATGACAGAATCCTGTTACCAACGGGAATGAGGTTTTCGAACCCTGTAACTAATGATTAACGAATGGGATCATTTTTCTTCTTTTTTTTTTTAAAGAAGATTACCCGCTACCTATTTATCAAGTGTATCCCTTTTCTTTACGAGTGATATCCCCCGTCTCCCCCCCCCCCCCCCCCCACACACACACACCTTTTTTTTTCCTTTTGGCTAGCTTCAGTTTCATAGAGATTGGGTAAACATGATTTGGGATGCACATGACATAGATCTACGGTAGATCTAACGTTCGGAGCCTACTCTTCATTTAACCCCCCCCCCCCTTAAAACAAGTCTCCCCACCGCATCAGGGGATAGGATGACGACGTGGTACCAGACTTTGGCCATGCGAAGTCACTGACTGAATGTTCATAAACACTAATGTGAGCCCAGCTTTCCCCTCCCCCCCTCCCCCCCCCCACACACACATAGGCCTACACAGTACACGCACACGATATGACACATCATGAATTGTGTCACAATCAACTTAGCCTACCGTAGGTCATGTAAGTCCACTTCACAGTAAATGTTATCTGTTGCCTTGCTGCCTTTGCTTTTACCTGACGTCTTGTCGACTTGTTTTAGTTGGGATTTTGTCAATGATTGGACCACTGTTATAGCCGAACATGTCTGTCCGAATGCTAGCTATAAATAACTTTATGATAGATTATAAAAGGTCGGATTTATGGATCTCCTGCCATGGTCGGAATCCTGTTATAACATTTGACGGATATAAATGGGGGTCACTTTACCTTGTCTTTATCAGACAAACATGCGAGGGACTCGAGTCCAACGTAACAGTTTGCCCTGTCAGATGACCCGAGCGTTGATTCCTAGCGCAGTTTTCCAACAAGAATGAACCTAAACAAATCTTATCTAAGCCACTGACGATCGGTCGGCGGGGTGGGGTGGGAGGGGGGGGGTGGGAGGGGGGGTGGGCATTGTAAATACGTGTTGTACTCGTAGATCATTCTCTGCCATGGTCATGGAATGTCACCTATCAGATACACTGCTTCGTTTTGGGTACCCAATCAGCGACCCCTTTACAGAAACCAATACACCAATGCCAGCATCTGCTCCAGGTGAATATATATATATATATATATATATATATGTGTGCGTGTGTGTGTGTGTGTGTGTGTGTGTGTGTGTGTGTGTGTGTGTGTGTGTGTGTGTGTGTGTGTGTGTGTGGTTCCGTTCCTGGGCTAGGTGACGCGAGTTGCTGCTGAGAAAAACTATTAATAACGAAGTCTGAAGAGAGATGAACTTGCCTCATAACAAGAACTAAACAGCTTGTCCTCCAAGCAGCCCCAATGCAGTATCGTCGAAATTCATATCACACCAATGGAGCACTCATGGCGTTAGTGAGCTAGACAGGAAGCGCTTTAGTGAAGGAGAGAAAGAAAAGAGGGAGTGGATGGGTACTAAATTCTCTCCATTTCCCCGTCACTCCCCCCCCCCTTTTTCCAACTCATCTCTCTATTTCTCTCTCTCTCTTTCTCTCTCTCTTTCTCTCTCTTTCACTCTCTCTCTTTCACTCTCTCTCTCTCTCTCTCTCTCTCTCTCTCTCTCTCTTTCTCTCTGTCTGCCTCTGTGTGTGTATGTGTGTGCGCGCGCGCGTGTGTGTGTGTGTGTCTCATCTCGAGTATATTGAATATGCATATATTCAAACACAAAAAAAGAAAGAGGAGAGATATGGATGATAGACGTTTGATAGGCTGGTCCTCCAGGAAAATTGCTCCTTCTTTCCTATAAAAAAAAAATCTATCGTCCCTCTCTGCCCTCCTTCTTTTTAATTATGTTACATTCTTGTAACACCTCTAATCTTCGGCACTTATATGACCTTATTGTGTTGCAAGTGCCGTAAAACTCTTACAAGAAATCGCGGTCTTGCGGCCGCGTTTTTCGTCGAGTTCCGCAATAAACCC